GACCAAAAAGGCACAGAGGGAATCTGTCCCAATAGTTTTTAAAGCTTTGCTTCTGTTGGTAATGTCACCTTTGAGAGCTAATGAAACAGTTTTCAGATGTGGGTCTGGTCTCTGCTAATGCTTATGATTGTGAGCATACAAAGAGTATTGCATACTCCAATGGGAAGTTTACTTGGGCAAAATTCCCACTGAGGTCAGCTGGGCTTTGTCCAGAGCAATCCTTACCTAATAAATCCCTTAATAGTAATAAGAATTGCATTTGGAACTGTAGTTAAATATAGGAATATTTTAAATTAAAAAATACATGGGCTGAAATCTCTTCCTGTCCATACTCCTCTTTCCTGCAGGAATTCCATCAAGTTACTCCCAGTCTTTGCTGGTGTACAGCTGAGTACAGAATCATATCTTCTATTGCCACATTAAAAAAACTCATTAAAAAGCCTCAGTTTTATACATTTTATTTTGAATATTAATTTAGGGCTTTAAACTAGTGACCAGCATGACTTCTAATGAGTCCTGCAGTATCTTAACCCTAAAATAAAATTGAAGAAAATTCTTATTTTTCTCTAAGTGAAAGTATGATGGCAGAATGGTTACAACATATGGCATTTTGACAGAGATATAAGCTCCCTTGTCATGACGGTGATGAGTGTTTTCAAGACAGGTAGAGAATCAGATTATGCTGCTTTGAGGCTTTTCTTGGTCAACTTGGCTGTAAATAGGTGCCAGTCATTCCAGCTGAAAATCAGAAAGGCTGTGAGAAAAAGGTCTGTGATATCCACCTTAGTGTTTTCATCGGTGTGGTTTACCACAGAGTTGGCATGTGCCAGTCTGATGGGCTGAAGTGCCTTGGTGTAAGCTGTGGCCATCTTCTTACTGCTTCTGCTGAGAGATGTGTGTTTCCAGGGTAAGCAGATGTGTCTTGGGAGAGAAGGAAACAGAACTAATGAACCTGGCTTCCCAACAGGTTTGGTTATATACTTGGTTGATGTTTGCTAAGTAAGGCCATGGGTCTTATTTGGCATCAGGTAACCTGCCAGGAGAGATCTAGAGAAGGCCCCAGACTGGGAATAAGCTTGAAACAGGGTTTTGTGTCCTCTTTTTCTAGCTCCTTGCCTTCATGAAGCATGCTGGAATGTAAATGTCTTGGAGTCGTCTGCTCTTTTATCAAGTTCTGACAAAAATTGGCAAATCTGTTCGAATGGTGGCAGGAGGCTGCCTTGGCCTGAGTTCCAAAATTCTCTGAAAGAAGAGATTCTCCAAATCATAGCATTTTTTGGTGGATCCATATCAAATGCGGGAGGATGGATTGTAGGAGAATACAGATAGTGCTGAAGGCAATCTTGCCCCTGAGGAGTTGCAGCTGTACTAATTACCCGAGAGTAGGAACAGGCCTGCCCTTAATAGATCCCAGCTATGTCCAATAAGGATGGTCCAACAAGGCTGGGTGTTAAAAAAGAGTGGGTTAGCTGGAGAAGAGGAGAATTGGAGTCAGTTGGCTGCTGCTGTGAGAACAAGGGTTAGGCAGTCATGCTAGGGACAGGAAGAAGTCAGCCAGCCATGTGGAAGAAAGAGAAAAGGAGTCAGAGTTGTGAGGAGCTGCCCATGAGAACTCACAGAGAGAAGGTATGAAAGTCTTACAGTAAGATAATAAACTTACAGTGACAGTCAGCTCCCATCCACCAGATTGGTGCCAAGCACCGACACCCATAACTGGTGGCCTGTACGGGGATGGATTCCAACAGTCAAGCACGAGCTCTGAAAGGATCTGCCATGGGCAGGCTACTACTCAGTACACTGGGAAATGCCCTGAGTTCAGTTGTTCCAGGGGCCAGTCAGGAATGGCCAGGCTGCAGCCAGCAGTGTGTGGGGATCAGTCTGCTTTAACTGACACTTCACTTTCTGCTCAGGCAAAGTCTGGCTGACTCTGCTGTGGTAGAGCAATTAACATTGCTTTGAAATCTGCTTTTCCACTTACGCCTTTTGACATCCGTACAACTCAATTGCTTTGATTGTCTCTTGTTTTTCCCCAGGCACGAAAGACACTGATTTTTACTCTCGGTATGTAGTTGCATTGACTTCTTTAATGCCATTACATTAGTATCAATTGGCAATGTCCAAAAGGACTAAAAGGCCTGTTTCCAGAATGAAACAGAAGAAATTGTCATCAAACACAGTTGGGTACTGTTAGATAGTGGGATTTTCTCAGGTATTTACAGGATGGGAAACAGGAACTTTGAGAACTGTGAAGAGGGTTAAATCCAAGTTAAATCCATAAATTTCTGTAGTGTGTAGAAATGCTGCAAATGAACATGTGAATATTTGTCTTTTACACTGAATTCTTGGAATTCTTACCAGAGTCAGAGAAAGCCTCCTATTCTCCAGAGTCCTTAAGCATGTGCTTAACTAAAAGAAGGGATTTTTAAGGAGAATTTCTGTGGAGCTCTATGTATTTTCTACCAGCTGCTTCCATGTGGGAATCAAGCCATATACAGTTCCTGACTCTGGGGCAATTAAAATCTCAGGCATAATGTTATATTAACACAGAATTTGGTGTGCCTAATGACATATTAAATCTTCCTAAATTATAGCTAAATTACAAAAAGGACTAATTTACCAGAGCCAGTTACTAAATGCTTAGAAAAGGAAGCTAATTGAATTATCTCTTGTTTGTCAGAGACAGATAATCTCCTTGTGAGAAATCTCATTTTTTCTGAAGCATGATTAATTTCCCTTACAAGTCAGAGATTATGACAAATTATGCAGGAGAAGATAACAGATAATAGTAGGAAGGCTTGGGAGCAGAGAACTAGCAGCTGTTACTTGGTTTGGGTCTAGGTACTACTTCTGGATTCCCCCTGATCCTTGTATGTTCTCTTTGCTGCTGCTGGAGATGAGCCCTGCTGCTCTCACAGCCACCCTTTGCTCCTTTCCTTGATGTGCTCAAAGCCTGGTCTACGAGGTTGCTCACCATGTTGAGCTTGGAAGACTTTGTCTGTATTCTTTGCTCTGCTGATCCTGCACTGGCCTTTGCTGCAGCATTTGGGCTGCTCCAGGTCTCATTTCCCCCTTCCTTAAGAGTGAACATGCCTTCTTAGGACTATGTGAATTGCTTTCATTATGTGTTAGCATGAAAATTTGTACAAATTCACTGATGTACTGATAGGGAGGAAAAAGGCCTTTGTGATATTTTTTTTTTTATGTGTAACTATATAGTATCTATGGAATTAACCACTTTTGACAATGGAAGAAAAATACACCAGAAAACAATAAATTCATCACTTTTGGCTTAGTGACACTGAGCAGAAGTTTGCTGTAAGATTGTAGGGTCTTTTAGGAGATCGTTGGCACATCCTTGCAATGCTCTTAGGCTTCATATAGATGTTTGCTGGGGCAAAGAGTCTATCAGAGACGATGGACCTCTGTCAGACCTAGGCTGACTATTGTAATATTCCCTGTGTGTAATGAGAGCAATTTTTAGAAGTTTGAAGCCTCTATAGGTCCTATTTGTATAGTATAAACAGCCTTTATCAGGTCTGCTAGTTAGGTACTTTCTTTGCTTGTGTTTTCCCATATTTGTTTGGCGAGTCAAAGAATTTTAATAATCTTTTTTATTTGATTAAGTGCAGTTCTGAGAAACAGAAAAAATATTCCTGACTAAAATGATCTGAGTTTTCATTTACAGGCATGAGAGTTGCCAACAGAAATTCATATTGCAAATGTTTTGACCATTTACTTTTGTCATCCTTTCAGTTTGGGAGGAGTTGAATCAACTCTCCTCTTCCTCATACTTTTTAGAGTGGATTTATACCACTGGAGTCTCCAGGACTCCACCCACAGGCATCTTTTAATTACCCATGCAGCGGTACTGAGTCCAGTGGATTTTTGCCTGATTTATTATCATGTGAGCAAGGGCCACACCAAGCTGTGTGACTCCTGCAGTTAGTTTTGATTTGCACTGATGCAGCTGACAGAAGGAATTGACTTGAATGATCTCACTGTTGCTGTGGCTCTTGCATTGTAATTAAAGCCAATGCTGTGTTGTTATCTCTTTAGACATGCACGCTGTGCCTGCACCTCTTTGCTCACTTCTTGTGCCTACAACTGTCTGCTCTTCTGAGTAGCTCCATTCACCAGCATCATTTTGTTGCTAGGCATCTGCTGTGAAGGGATCGAGGTCCAGCATGACATGCTGGGGCATGTGTCCAACCCTGACTGCAAAGAGCTTTCCACTGTTACCCATTCAGGGGAATGCTCTTGAGCTCAGGGAGAGCACAGGGTGTGTATCATGGACAGGCACAACCTGTGCTGGACAGGCAAACAGGTGAGTGCAGGTAGGTGCCTGTTCTGCTGGATGTTGACTGCCTGGGCTCAATCTTGATCAAAAATTCGTGGTGGTAAGAGTGTCTTTTGTTCAGTCTTTTGACTGAACGCCTCCCAGATGTTCATTTTTCATCTAGTTTTCCTTCACTGATAATTTCCAAGCACTGGTGTGCAGTTTGGCCTGAATTTAGAAGATGCTGATGCTCCAAGTGGTGCTGGTAAAGCTGCTTGTAGGAATGGACAAAACAGCAACTCCCTGAGGTGGCAAAAGTCTGCAGCCCCATGTAAGTGTGCCCAAACCTCTCAGAACAGAAGCAGTAGCTCTGAGGGTCCCTTGTGCCCAGCTGCCTTGTCTCAGTATTTCTCATCCTTCCCCCTCTCCCCAGGAGCCAAGGCACACACCAAAAGGTTTTGAGAAATCATAATCTATTCACTACCCCAGCACATTTGTCTGATCAAGATTACCAACCTGAATTCTCCAGGCCTTTCTCCTCTACTGCTTGTAGCTTAACATTTCTTGTTTATTTTCATTTTTATTTCCCATAGTGTACTGAGATGATGTGTACTGAAACATTTGTTCACACAAATAAGGGAAGGTGATAGCTTTCCTCCCTGACCACATGCTCTCTCTTCTGTTCCAAGTCTTAATTAAAATGATACTGCAGGAAGCAAATCAATTAACAGATACCTTACAAGATGCTTTATTCACTTACACATGTACACAAAATTACTTACAAGTATCACATTACTGCTTTAGTTTATCTGTTAGCAAATGCTGCTAATGAACTGCAGTGTTGCTGAAATGGGTAACAGACACCTAGGAAACCAGAGAAAGTATTCCAATATATCATTCTTCTGTCAAAAGAAATTTTACATTTTGTTGTTCAAAATGTGTGCAAAAATTACTATTCATTTTCCTGTGCACATTTGATAAATGACCTGCTTTGTGAAAGTCAAAAAATGCTTATATTGAGATCCCTTTAGTTAGTTACAAGTAGTACAGTAGCTTATTCTTTATAAAAACAAAACTCTGATATATCTGTTCTTATGCTCTAACAGCATGTTTCCTCTAAGTCCCTGACCCAGCACATCAGCTCTGCCTGATCTGAAGGCTGATTACTGGACAGGAGGCCCTTGTCTCCATGATTTTTGATTGATAGTTCTTAATAACACTCAGAATTTCTAGGTTGGACTTCAGTCTTACAATTGCTTTTTTTTTTTTTTTTTTTTTTTTTTGTTGGATTAAATCTCTTATATTAGTGGAGAGCTGGAAATAACTTTATTATTTTTATTATGATCTGCCACACTGAAAGCCGAAACAGGTATAAAAGTGAACTTTAAGAATGTATGTAAAGTGAGAGATTTAAAAAAGCCTATATGTCTATGGACATTGGCTTGAACTAAAAGGTTATGAAGATTCTATTTATTTATAGGTTGTGGTCTTTGGGTCTGGATAATGGTAAGTTGCAATAAAATAGTGTAACATCCTGTTTGGAGTCATCCTGTAATGCTCCAGCATACAGCTCTGCCTGTGAAATACTGGGATATTACTTAACTCACTTGGCATGCTGTCTACCTGAGGCCCCCAAGCCTTGAAGTTCTGCTGGGTTTCCTGAGAGAAGCTGTAGGAATAGCAGATGATGCTGGACAAGAGTTCCCAAAGCTCTCAGAGCTGACACTGGCTGCCCTGTCTTCACAAGGTGAAAGAAAAGCCTGGGTTGAAATACAAAAATCTCCCTGTTTTCTTACACCTTGTGATGACAATATGTTGAATATATAGCATTCTTGAAAGAAGAGGATTAAACAGAATAGAATCTACAGCATTATTTTCTGAACCAAAACCAAAGCCACTGACTCAAAGCTTTGTTAAAAGTTGGAAAGTGTTTACAGAATAACTTGGGTTTAAATTATTTAATATTTAATTAATTATTTATTAGCTTGTTTGTAGTGTTGACATGAAGTGTCAACAGAACATAAAAAACATTATTTCTAAAAGGAATTTTTAATTTTAAATGGCCATAATTAATTTTTAAATTGATTAAATCATCACTAACACCTACAAAAGGCATCAGTTCTAGATCTAAAAAAGATAAAATTTTAAATTAATTAAGTATTTTCTTATCCTGATATAAATGAGAAGCCTTGTTTTGTTCTAACCTCAAATGAATTATTTTCCAAGTTGCTGAAATACTTATTTACTTATCTTGAAATATGGGTGTGACCATGCATTCTGCTGCTGATTCATATTGCCACCTTTCTGATTACCTGCTATTTAACTGACTTTAGAAATCAATCATATACTTATCACAGAATAAAGAGGCTCTATTAGTGAACAGAACCCATCTATTTTATTTTCCTCACACATGTCCTTCACAGACATGCTGAGGGGGATTGCAGGCCTTTTGGGTGCAGGTTATTGAAGTTAGCTGCACTATAAGCTCTTCCTGTAAGCAATCAATCAGCCTTTCAACTAAAGAACAGAGAAAAGGATTGGTATTGGTAAGATTCCTGCCTGTGCACAAGAGACTTCTATTGATCCTCAGACCAGGTAACTGTTGATTGCAAAAGGGTTATTGATCTCTTGTACTTTGCATTGCTGTCATCTGTGAGAAGAAAGAAAAATCACAGATTAACAATAACTCTCTGGCTTTGGTTTTACCTGGATTATCCCAGGTAAAACATCATTGTAAAAGCTGAGCTGGGAGATACATAAAAATCACAGGAATTCTAGAAAAAATTTTAATGGAGATGTTGGAATTACATTGATCAATTTCCTTTCACTTCACTTACCTTTTCTTTTACTAGATGTTCCTTTGTACCTTTGGAGGCATCTGTTTTCCCGAGTGAATTAACAGAGCAAATGCATGCTTGTGGGTGCTGTGGTGACTTCCAGATGCCCTTGTCACTGCCACTAGGAATCCACTAGCAGCAAGCCATGCATTTTCAGGCAGCATCCCAGGGCTCCCTGGATTGCAGACACTGGACTATTGTCATTTGGGGCGCTTCCCACTGTTGCCTTGCACAGAGTGGGGAGCAGCTCCTGGATCCCTTTTGTGGAGCATCTTCCCAGGAGTTTATGCCTGGAGTGCCTGCTGCTGTGGGGCGGCTGCAGAGGGCAGCCAGCCTCGCAGTGTGCCTGGCCCTAACCAGGGAGCTCCAGGTAAACCTCAGGGAGGCTGTGGGACGGCACAGTTCAGTGACCTGCCTTGGCCCATGCAGAGTGAGTGCCCAGCAGATCCGGGCTGTCAGCAAGGGCTCAGGGTCACCCCACAGCCTTTCCCTCGGTGGAGGTGCCTCTACAACCTTGGGTCTGCCCACTACTGTCACTCCCTGTGCCACCACACCCCCTTCACCCAGAACTTACCTGTTTTGGCTCGATCCCGTGTTTGACCTGCAAAGTGTAAAGATTGAGCTATTAATTGTGACTTTCAGAGCCATAATCAAAGGTGAGAATCCAAATGAGTAACACATTATAGAGTTGCAGGAACTTTTTTATCTTTTCTTCACTGCTCTAAATCTTTTATTCATTTTTGCTCCATCTAGTGTCAGTGCTTGGGAACTTGATCTTGTCTTTTAGCCCTCGACTTGTTTATATGATATTTCACGACTCCACAGGGAAATGAACTTCATCGTAGTCCCATTCCTACAATACTACTTCAGCATTTTCTGGTGTCTTTGCTAAAGAAAACTGTCACAGGAGATTTGGTGGGCAGGGACAATCCATGCTTCACATAATTTGCCTCAGCCTTTTTTCCTTCTCTGAGATAAATTTTGTCACTCATGTCTTTTAGAATGCTCTGCCAAAATTTTCTGTTCACGTGGAATTCACTGCCCTGTTAGTGTCTATAAGATTCTGACTCTCATCCTTCCAGTCTGACTTGGGCATACAGTCCATGGGAGACCATATAGTGAGACACAGGCTGGAATCACTGGAATCAGAGGCATTTTTTCTGTTCTGCTGTTTTTCCTCCCTTCTTTCTTTCTCTGGTTTGGGGCTGGGGTGAGTCAGCACAGCTATGTTCCCATTTTGCCTGCTTTGCCCAGCCCTTGGGAGCTTGCAGGGCAGCCACAGAAAGTGTCTGCTGCTGGAATGCAAGGACAAAGGCTCATCTCTACCTGCCTGCTTGCCAGCTGACCACACTGGAGGTGCCTGGGGCTTGTTTCAGCCCTCCTTTGCCTGTGCTAGTCTGGCACTTTGCACACACAAGGGATTTCTTTTAGTGACACAGCTCTGACATTACTGAAGAGGTATCAGTTATGCAATAATATTTTTCAGCTTGTTACAGTTTGTGGCAGGTCTTTCCCAGAAAGGAGAGCCATTTCAAAGCATAACCAGGGACCTGATATAGGTTGTGCTCATGAACTTGTCAAAAATTTCTTCACAAAAAATAACAGACTTTAGCCTGTGAAGTGCTACACTTTTTGTCTGGATCTGTAGCCAATTTAAAAAAATACAGTATTTTTCCCCACTTCTAACAACAGATTAATACAGAACAGGCCAGTGCAAAGTGATGTGGTCTAACTGAGGTGAATCAGCGTTGGATAAGGTTCTCCTGCCTGTGTCACAGGAGAAGAAGCTGGCAGAGAACTGCTAGTAAGGGCAGTTCCTAAGTGGTCTAATTCTAACTCAATTCTCTGCATATATAAAGAGAAAAGAAGAGATTGGTTAGGGGGGCCAGTGCTACCCTGAGATAGTGGCCATCTTGCTGATGCTCTCAGGCCATCTTCCCATTTTTGACAATGCCAGTTCCTGCAAGACAGGACAGTCCAGCCTTCCCTGGCACCTCAGTTGTACTTCCCTTGTGCCAGACATCCTTGAACAGCCTGGTACCTGAAGATTATTTTCATGTTCTACCACATTCATTTTTGGCAGGGCCAGTTCCCTGAGAGAGTAGAGAAGGGTGACTGCCTGAGCAGAACATACAGCTGTGCTGGCATGGGGAGAAGAGAAGCGGGCCTTTCTCTAGACATGGGACATCCTTTGCTCCTGTGCTTTGCCCTGCTTCAGGGAGTCATGGAAGCTCATTCACAAACACTTTAAAACGTCCCTTTCTGCCTACAGGGTTAGTTATTCTTCTTATCCCCAGCTTCCACCTCTCCTGTGCCAGCACAAGCATTTCAATGTCCGTGTAGTAAATAAGACTTGGGAGTCAGCCAGATGCTGTTTTAATGCACACACTGAAACACACACAAAAACCTAACAAGTTTTCAGGCAGTGTTTTTCCTTTATAAGACCATGCAAATTTTCCATTGACTCTGTGAGCCTCTGCGAAGTGTCTTTTAACCCCGTTTAAATCCATATGGAAAACGTTTAAGCCCATAAACTTCTGCAAACTGCTGAGAAGTACACCACAGATCTCCAAGCACTTGCAGCAGAAGTCAGCATCACTTTGTGGTACCCCCTGATTTCTTTCAGCTCGCTATTTGTGCTCTGACACCAGGCTGTAAAGTACACATGGAATGTGGAGGGTCGATGATTATAAGCAACAATCAGGGGAAAAACAAACAGCTGTGCTGATACTTAGTACAGGTTGTTCAAGGCAGAACTCTTGGACAGTAGGAGATCAGGGAACTGAAATAAAATTATGCGATAGACTCTACACATGATCTTAAAAAAGGATCTGTAAATAATCTTATTTTCTGAGATGGCACTGACAAAAATTCTTAGGATCTGAAATCAGTGATTCTTTTTTCATAAGTCTAGTGTGAACTTGTGTACAGAAATTAAGTGTGATACACAAAAACCTGTGAGTTGGAGCATGCAGGAGCTCTAATTCGATGCTGTTCTTGTCTGACTAACACCTGCGGCTCTCCTGAGCCTCTTGCGTCAAGAGGCCTTGGTTTGTGTTGGTTTTAAGCTGTCCTTTAGCTATGATAGCAGCTTTCATTCCTAGCTAATCCCATGTTGTCACTTCTCTGACAAGCCCTAGCAGCACAAAGCTACTCAGTTTGTTTGGCAGTCTGGTGCTGCCAGGGAGCAGGAGGCTCTTTGCTTGGTGGCATCTAATCCTTGAGTTACCCCGGGTGCCTGCTGACAGGGGTGAAGAGGGTACTCTTCCAGAAATATTTCACCTTTTTTTTTGTATCCAGACTTGCAGCAGCGCTAGGGAAGGGTAGAATTACTCCTTCAGTGCTGGAATAATTTGCACCAGCATGTTTGCCAGCAGTGACCACGATGGCTGTGGAAGGAATTGCCTCTGACAGGTGTCTGAATATTACCAGGAAAGCATTCTCCTGACTCAGCAGGTTTGGCACCAACTCCTACAATCAAATAATTTAGAGCTGTTCAAGACAAGCCCCAAACAGTTGTGCAGAAGGGTAGGAAGGAGTAAGGATTCTTCCCTGTTTGGCAGCTGTGAAAAGGTCAACCACAAAGGCAGTCCCCAGATCCAAGAGAACAGGCGCCCTGGGCCAGGTGCCCTCCCAGGGAATGTGGAGGGTGGCCAGGGGTGCAAAAAATAGCCAGAAGTGTGGCTCTGCCCATCAGGCTCATAGCTGGCATCACTGAGGTATACGGTGTCATTGAAATGGGTTTAATGAATTAATCTCTCCCTAGCAGTTTGTGCCATAAATATGTGTGTTGTATATATATATGTATATATATATATATATATATATATATATATATATATATATATATATATATATATATATATAAAAGCTGTCTTTCAGGGGCTGTGTGTGTGTATTCCCTCAATCCAGGAATGGAGCTCAGAGCCTACAGAATGTCCTACTGTTGCTTTTTAAAGCCTGAAAGCCTGCTGTCCCCAGCATAGTGCAAAGCTTTATGTCCTTGATTTTGAAGTGTGTGATAAAAAGATTAATTTCATTTTATGGAAAGGGTAACCTGAGCCAGGGACTTGTCCAAGGTTGTTCAGAAGAACAAGTTCAGCTAGACAGGGCAGTGCCAGAAGTAGGAAGAAAAAACAGTTTATTACTCTAGTCACTGGTAACTATTGCCTCAACACAGAATGGATATTGGTATTTTATTTATGCAAATGTATATTACAAGGAGTTGAGACAGCCATTTCTGCTGAGATTATTTGCCCATTTTTTAATATTTGCACTCACATGGAGTTGTTTAGATCATCTCTACCCATCCTTAAATTTATTTGCAATAGCATGCATTATTATGGCATTTGTGAAGCTTTAAATATTTTCCATTAAACTCAATTCCCAGTATGCATGCTGAGGAAACCTAAACAGTGAATACAGACTTCAGCCTATCAACCACCCACTACTCCTTACAGTGCTGAGAGAGGAATTGGGTGTGTTCTGGTGTATCAACAGGGCCACACTCGTCTTGTGCAGGTGGTATCTACTCAGTGAAGTGCAGATGCACTTCTTCCTAAGAGGACTGGAGCCCTCCAAGCTGTCTTCCACTCCCATTCTCGTGACAGTTCTTCACTACTGGTTTTAGGTCATGGTGGCAATGTGAAGAGAGGCTCTGTAGTGGAAACAGACCTCACAGGAATAATTTGTGATTGATTTTGCAAAGCTTATTTGGATCACTGGAGAGGTTAAGTGTCACTGCTCACTCTGGTTTTCCTTCTATGTAAACCACTGACAATTTCTGAAAACTTTGTTGACGTGATGATTGAACTGTATGTAGAATATCCTACTTGTCAGAATGAAAGACCTTATGAAGGTCTGCTTGGGAAACCAAGAGTGGCAAGTGAAAGAACAGCTTAGGGCATCACTGAGGGATGTTAAGAGAATCCATTCACACAGAGGTGCCAAAGATTCTGCTGAGTCTACATGACTGGTCTGCTACAGATCCAAGAAGATCAAACTGACTGGATGGTTTAAAGTATTACTGGGACAGCAAAAGAAAAAATAGGCTTGTTTTAGGAGTGTAAGGATAGATGCAGGCAGCTTGCTGCCAGGCTGTGGGCTGAACTTAGTGTTCCTGTGAATACCTGGCACAGTATGTGCGAGGCTGCAATGCATTTCAGTGCCCAGCATCCTGGGAAACCTGTGCTGTCCATATTGTCCATATTGACCCTTTTCCCTTACGCATCACTCTTTCAGTGACACTCTTAGACAAGGCTAAAGTCTCTTTTTTTAAATTTGTATTTTTTAAGGATTTTGGTTTGTAAATTTAGGGACCATTTTTCAAAGGACTCCCACATGTGGCATTTTCAAGTACCCATTCTAGCATCAAAACTAGATCTCCAGTTAAGTTTATTTGTGAGCTCAGACTCCAGTGACTGGACAGACTGTGTCTCACATTTGGAAGTGATGAGACTCATGTCTATGTTTTTGGCTTCCTGTTTGTTAAATGATGTGTTCTGCAATTCACAGTGTTGTAGACCAAGTTTGGATCAGAAAGAACTCTTTCTCATCTCCAAAACAATATCTTTGTCTTTCTATCTGACTTTAAACCTGTTTGAAGGATATGATGTTCTTAGATCAGATCTTGTTCACTGTCCCTGCCTGTCAGGCTACAGACCTGAACATGACAAAATGCTAGGAAAAAGACTCCTGGTTCAGATGTTTAGGCTGCCACAGTTCTGGTAGTTGGAAGAAACTGCAGCTCAGCACTGAAACCTGCACACGATTGCCCAAACCTAGTCTTTTTTATGCCATCAATCTGTGATGAATCTGTGATGTTTATTTTTTCAAAGTGGATGATTTCGCCTCCTATGCAATGTGTTGCACTGTTTTTTTGGTGATTTTTAGAACATATTAGGGGCTTTCAAAGTGCAGTAACATTCTAAGACCTGTTCCAATCATCTAAAGAATGCTACAATTCTCAAAAGTATCCTGTGTTTCTCAAGCACAGTCTAGCAAAGGAGAGAGAAGTTGGTCCTTTAAAAGTCAGGAGGGAAAATATAAGAGAATATTTAGATGAGGCTTTGGATAGGAAAAGAAAATCACCAATACACTTGGCAAGCATCTCCCACACTCCTCCTCTCTTCCATAAAACATCCGAAGAACCTGTGTATTGCATTTAGAACCTGATTTTCTACTAAATGATTTACATGGAGTCCTGTAGAACCCAGTGAATGGCATAGGGAATTTTGTGTGTGCTGTTGCCCTGGATATGTTGACAACAGATTCATTTGTGGCAGATTTAAAATATATACCTTTTCCTTTTTAGTAAACATTCTCTGTCTCTCCACCCTTCTCCTTGTCTCTGTATGTCTCTTTCTTTGTCTCCTGTCAAAATAAATCTGGCTGACATGCACTGTAGTTAACTCAAAATATTGCTAGCATTAAATGTACCCAGACATTTTTATGAATACATTAAACTTGCATGAAATTTTTAGGCATTATAATTTACCAAGCTTACACCAAGATGGCATTTGATACGGACATGAGCTATTAATTAAAAAAGAGGACGTTAAATAATTGTCAGTTGACATATAAATTGCTGTTTTGTTGGCTGACAGAATCTTGCCTCAAGCCTTTTTCTTCTCAAGTGTTCGTAAATATCCCATTGAGTTTAAGGGCAACCCATTGTGAATTGATTGTTTAAATCCTAATGTTATGTACCTGACTAAATAAAGTGGTAAATTCTGTTAATTATTTCACAATGAGCTGTCAGTATCATGTGAGTATCAAAGCACTTGTGTTTTAAGTATTTTGGAAATTATCAAGGGGGATGCATCTGAATACTTCCTGATTTTAGTGAAAATCTGTTCTTGGAAAGGGTCAGTTATGTTCAGTAGCAGCTAATTGGGGTTCTGACACAGAGGATGATTTTCTGCATCAAGACCTTCAGCTGGTGTGAGGCTGAGCAACTCCATTGGCTGTGGAAGTGCAGTGCTGGGTGATGCCCACTTGGAGTATTTCCCAGCTAGGGAAATATTGAGTGGCTGGTGGCATTTGTAGGAATAATGATGTAAAATTTAAAACAAAATTTGGCTGAAGGTGAATTTGGTTGAGTGTTCTATCAGTTGGATTAAGTATTTTTTTCCTGAACAAGCATTCATAATCATCCCTGGTCAAGCAGAAAATGAAGCTGTTTGTGGAAGATTTGCCAGTTCTCCTCTCCAGTCCTAAAGGGATGGTGTCTCCTAACACCATCTTGAATGTTTCAGGTTCCCTTTTCCTGAGGGATTCTGGATGGCTATATGTGTGAGGAATAAATCAGGTGATTTCAGATAATGGACTTCACTTTATCAGAGGGTTTTGTAGGACTAGCCACAGGTCTAAAAATCTCATAAATTAGAATTCCCTAGGGAACTGAAGCAAGTAGGTAAAATCAACTTAGACCTATTTATCACATGTGTCTCTGGTGACCTAAATAAATCCTACTAATTATTAGTTTATTTGGGGCATTTTAAAATGTTTATAGGCTCTGGTAGTATTTTTACTGCCAGAGGTTTCCTCAAAACCAGTAGAGACTATTCTGTTTCCACAGATTATTACCAGCATTATAGAATCCCTTAGTGACCTACCAGAGAGTAATACATAGATGCCCTGAAGGAAAGGAGAACAAAGATTTGCTAGTAAATTACTGATTACCACAGCAGAATTGAAAAGTACACTGATTAAGAAGTGGCAGTGGATTTCTAAGTTTTTTTCTACTCAGCCATAAAAGTGTCATCTTTAACTTAAATAGTTTTGCCCCAAAATATTGTGGAATTAGAGTTTCTCTCACTGTCAGTGTCAGTGGCTCTAAGGCAAAATGTTTCTGTGTTGTGTCACACTTCTAAGCCTTAAGACCAGAATTTTGTCATGATACTGGAAATTTCACTCTACCTTTTAGCAAATGCCTGCAGACAGGGATAAGGAAATACCAAAGAGGTCAGTGTAAGGTCACCATTAAAGATGTTAAATTTTGCTCCCACCACAAACACATTCACTTCCACTAGAAAGATAAGAGGATGATGTAAAAAATGTTCAGTCTGTCTCTGAAGGAAAATACGACACATAATAAACAGCAAAGCGAGCTAGAGAAGTCCAGTGTGGAACAGTTCATAGATCATCCTGTCTGCATTTCACCCAGGCAGTAAATCTACCACTGCCTTCCGTGTTTCTTCTTGTCTTTGTCCCTCTCATCCCTTTATTCTCTTTTCTCTTGACTCTGGTCTCTGGCTTTTCTATTCTGGCTTAGCTCTTTCTCATGACTTTCTGTTCGTTGTTCTATCTACACTGTCCTGAAAGCATAGTAAAGTTTACCAGGTATTCTATGTTTGTTCTTCTGACCTTATCATACATAGTCCTAATCCTTTTCAGGTTTATGCACAGAATTTGCTGGTGGACTGGTCAGGCGCTCAAACCCAAAATGGTCTTACTGTTTCTGGGTAAGGGGGAGGAAGGTGAAGGGCAAAGAGGCATCCCTCCCAGCAGGAATGATCACTGCATGACCCTGACACGTAAGAGCCCAGAGTGAAGGGAGTTTTCAGAACTGGGATGCAGACATAGTAACCTTAGAAGAAGCAATTTGTCCAGAGTTTGTTGTTATTATGCATAGTACAAACAAACAGACAAAAAAAGAAGCTTCCTCACAAGTGTTTGAAGGATTTTCATTTTAAAAAGAATCTCAGTCTGCTGGGTTTTCTTGGGTATTTCTGAAATGTTGAAAAGCAGTTAGAAGAAAATTCCTTTTCCCATACAGATTCACTAGATATCCCAGTCCTCTAGAGGCTTATGTGCAATCGTTCCAACATGGGGAAGCATCATGCATAATGAGAGAGAGAAATCAGAAAACACAATGACTCTTACCTTCTTTCCATTTTGCCATCTGACTCTAAAGTGAGAAGAGGAAAATGTGGTTAGTTGAGAATCAAGGAACAGAGTGGTGATAGGCCTCCACAGAATTTGTGAGGAGGCAACCAGGATTACATAGTTACAGCTGGTAAAGATCCAGCCATCCTTTGTGAGGCAAAACTCTTTGATATTGGTTGTGTCATGCAACTTTCCTAAGCCCTTATTGATTCTTCCAGCTGGAATATCTCATGACAATTTTCTCAGAGCTGTGTTTTAGCTAATACTTTGTCTGGTTTGAGTTTGGTTGTAGCATATCCCCTGGGTATCATGAGAAACAGCTTTGAGGCTAAAGAGTAGACTTGGTTATAGTGAAATGTGAATCTGCAATTCTAGGCAGTCCAGCAATTCAGACACTCTTAAAATAGCTCTTCACTAGAAAACCTGTGAGCTGTTGTACATACACAATTGCTAACACTGATGCTAAGATCTTCTGTATCAGAAGATGAGGAGAGTCAGATCTATGGAAAAGGGATCAGGAGTATTTTTTCTTACCTCCAAAGTCACTGTCAATAATTTTGGCTTTGATCATGCAGATTATTACTGCTACAAAAGCGATTGCCAGAACTGCTCCCAGAGTAACTCCTATAACAACATATGTGTAATCTGCAAATATTGAAAACAACTCAGTGAGTATACACCTTTACATAATAAATACATTCTTTGAGTTTCAGATGTAACACATCCCTAAAAAAAATTGCTGAGCCAGAGTAGGTGCCTGAGAAGACTCTGAGTCTATTCTTTAAAATCTCTGCATAAAATGAAGCCATGTGAACCTGTGGCTAAGGGGCTCAAGGGTGTTTTTTGATAATGAACAACTTCAGCTTTTAGTGTGTGCCAGTCTCAGCTGAGTTTTATAGCCAGGGCTTTACAAATACCCCAAAAGTAAAATCCCCCATCCACACTCCTTTGCCAATCTGCATCCTTCCAAACTGTTATTGCTGCTCCCAGATATGCACATATCCACCTCCCTGTCCCTCGCCTCCTGCCTTGCCCAGCTGTTCTGCCTCTGTAAGCCTTTGCTGGGAGGAAGGGGAATTGGAAAGTGTAAACTATGTGTTGTGATTTGGCATCACTGTGTGTACATAAGGGTTGTGTGTGAGGCAGGGGGTACCCGTGTTCAGGATCTGAGTCCCATGCTCTGGACTCTGCAGCATAAGCAACTACAAACTCACAATGTTTATCTTCTACACCTAAAAAGTATATGAAGTCTTCTAAGGACATTCAGTTTTGTTATTTTGCCTCTAATTTCCTGTCTGGAAGTATAAATCCCACCATGAACTCACCTATTTCCTCTTCTGGGTTTCCAGAAGCATGTACCTTTGCTCTCCAAAAATCTGGAATGGGAATATTTTAGCCTGTTAGAACATTGAGCAGAATGTCATTTCTGTCATTTTCAAGGGGATAGTTGATTCTAAGAAATCTTAGGATAGAATCCAAGGCTTCCTGCAGTAGTGAAATGTTATCAGTCAAGTTAATGAGGGCATCCTAGAGATGTGGCCACACTGTGCCAGTTTTTGACCAGAAGAGAAAATACAATTCCAAAAATTTGTGTTGCCTTAGCACTGTTTCCATTCCATGGTTTTGTCACTGCAAGCCAGAGAGCTCTATACAAGAGAAGATGCTGTAAATCAAGGAAAAGATTACAGATGCACTAAAGCTAAAAAACACGCTAATAAGTGAGGATCTGGCATAGCCCAACACCCCTTTTCCCATGAATCCAAATCCTGCCTGGAGTTCCAGTCTTCAGAATGTAATTCATTGCTGGCAGAGAAGAGTCTTTTCCTCTTGCAAGCAAATTTTGTAGGCTGAAAACAAACCTTTCCAGAGAATTCTACACCAAATGCCCTGTTCATGGGACACCTCCTGGCCTTCCCTTCTCCATAAAGCCACTGAGCCATGGTGCCTGATGCTCAGAGTGTGCAGGCCCTCAGAATGAAGTGGCTTTGCAGAAAACATTTAAATATTTTGTTGCTAAATACTTTAGCAAGAAAACAGAATCAATTGTTTTTTTAAATGAGAAAAAGGAGAGGTCATGTTTACTTTTAATGTTGCTTGGTTGTCACAGAAAATTGTTAAAAATGTACACTCAAATGTTTTTTTTTCAGTGAAGGATATTTCCACCAAGGCCTTTTTAAGTAGCTCCAAATGATGTAAGTGATGTAGCTGCATGAGGTGCTGGACCATGAGAAGGCTTTGAAGGCAGATATGACTCCTGCATTCTAAACCTGTGTGCTGCTCAACTCCTGCCTCCTGCACGAGCTTCAGGCACAACACAAAGTCACCGAAGTCACCGCTCCTTGGCGGGGTGACAGTCCGTGGGGCACCTGGAGGGGACACAGCTGCTTGGCACACAACATCATCTTTTCACTGGCATTCCCCACCACAGCAGGGAACTGGGAGGGAGTATTGTCTGGCTGAAAGCCAAGTAGAATTGCAGTGTCTTAAGTGCACTTAGTTTTCCTACCACTGAGGTGTCCAACATTGTATATCCCAGCTCCTCCCCTCCACATTTTGTGGACAAAGAATTTTATTTTCTTGAGGTTTTGAGGTCTGTTCTTTCATTTGTTGTCCAGTAAAATGAATGCTAGAAACATGACTACTTTTAAGCTTGAAGCATAGTACTAACATTCCAAAACAAGGCATTTTGGTAGATTTACAGAAATAATCTTCTATCTGCTTTTCAGACTGCTAAAACTCTTGAGCTGAGTGTGGGCCCTGGGGCTTCCAGAGTTATGTCAAAAAAATCTCGAAAAGATCTGATCTATTGGGTGGCTTATAACAGATTTATTTTTATTTCCTGGTCTTAATCGCATTTCTATTCCAAAATTTTAATAAATTACAAATCAAGCTTCAAAAATCTGGAAAAGAGCTTGAGTTAAAAAAAAAAAAAAATTGGGAACTATAATTCAGAGCTGAAAGTCTTTTTTTCTTTTTTTTTTTTCTTTTTGCCAAACTCTTCTACATAATGAAAATGTCTGGGAACTTACTTTGTACAAGCAGAAATATTTTCTCTCTAAAACCTCCATGACACTCAGAAAAGGAATTGCAAGGGATAGAGAATCTATGCTTATACTGGCTATACTAAATGACCAAAATCAAAGTTATAAAGATAAGGAAATTTAAAAAGAGCAAAAAGCTCTAAGGCTACACAGTGGGCACAAAAAGCATAGCTTCTGTTTTTTCCATATTAAAAACTAGTCTCTTTGCTCTCGCCTGTGATTTTATTTCATTATAAATTTAAAAAAAACACCTTTCTTCTGTCCCCTTAATTATTCTTTGTGCTCGTATGAAAAATGTTTTAAATTCAAGCATAATAAAAGTGATATTGTATTACTTTTATTATCCTAATGATCATAATACATGGACCTTAATGTATGCTTTCTAATGGAATTAAACCAGTGACAGATTATGTGTTTTATGGCAGAAATAATATTTTACATGGAATATTTTATGTAGGTCAGTTTAATATATTGAGATTAAATTATTAGTTTCTTTTTAAAAAGAGAGGGAAATTCCTGAAAACCCACAAGACTAAAGAGAATATTTTCAATTAATACTTTCAATATGCTTTTAATTAAGGTTTAATATCATTTACTGGATGCTGCTTAAATACTGCTTGCTTTCAAAGACTGTGTTAGGTGAATTCTATTTGTTTCAGTTTTTTCTTGGGCGGAAATAGGTGGATTAGCTACTTCAAATACATGTTTTTCTGTTTGATTTTTATCTTATCTGCAATTTAGATCTTTTGGGGATGTACAAAAACTCTCCCATTTGGGGGGGAAGGGGGGGGGGGTAGAAATGATGGCTTAAACCCCGCAGTGCTCTAGTCCCAGGCAGTGCTCTAGCCCCAGTGCTGGATTTCTAACTCTCTCTTCAGGAGTTTAGACTAACGCCTCGAATAAACCCTCTGGACTTGCAGAGTGTTTGCCCCTGTGTGGAGGAGCCTAGCAGATGAATTTGATACCCACGCTCGAGTGACTCGTGGATCATTTTCCAACGAGGCTGGAAGCCGGTGCTCTTAGCGCTGTGCCGTGTCCCGGCTGGGGCACGGTGTGCGCGGCGCTGGGGATGTGCCCCCGGCTCCGGCAGCACCGGGAGCCCGCCGGGGGAGCCTGCAGCCGCCGGGAGCGCCGTGGTGAGTGCGGCTGCAGAGCGGCCCGCGGGTGGCCCCGGTACCGGTGGGGCAGGAGAAAGGAGCGGAGGATGTGCCGGGGAGCCGGGCCCTCGGCGGGAAGCGCTCCCTGCGGCCGCGAACTCGGGGTGACACAGAGGAGCGCTTCCCGCGGCAGGGCAGAGCTGCCGAGCAGGCGATGGAGCCGCAGATAAACTCGGGGGGCCGGGAGCCTCCAGTCTGTGATATCGGTGCGACTCTGGGCAGACCCAGCCCTCCCCAGACCTTGCTGCACGTAGGGCTGAGCCAAGAGAGAGCAGCTGTGCCTGTGTCGCTGCTGTGCCCGTGTCACTGCTGTGCCTGTGTCGCTGCTGTGCCCGTGTCACTGCTGTGCCCGTGTCGCTGCTGTGCCCGTGTCGCTGCTGTGCCCGTGTCACTGCTGTGCCCGTGTCACTGCTGTGCCTGTGTCGCTGCTGTGCCTGTGTCACTGCTGTGCCCGTGTCGCTGCTGTGCCTGTGTCGCTGCTGTGCCTGGGCTCCCTGCGACACAGCTCCGCTCACGCGGTGCCTTGCCCAGAGGTCAGCTCAGCCAGGAAAATGGTGCAGAATGCAATTTGGGCATCAAATCAGGGAGCAGGAAGAGCTCAATTTCCCCACCGGATTAGGCATTGTAAACCATTCCCAGCCCTAACCTGCAGTGATAAACAGCAATGTGTGCCTCGTCTTTCCAAGTACACAACATTTGCCTTAGTCACTTTGCTTGTTACCTCCTGCTTCCAACTTTTTTCCCCTTCCTCCAACAACTCGTATTTCTCCTCATTGCAACAGATAATGGCTGGTCCTGTGGCATTGCAGCAGCAGGAGCTCGCTGCCATTTATAATGGAGGCAGCAAACAGGAAAGGAAGGAAATCTCTGGGAGCCCCAGAGACAGGGTAGAGCACCGCTGCAGATCTGTGGACAGCTTTGCAGAAGGTGAGGCAGGACAGGATATCCAGTGGATGCAAGCTGGAAAAACCCGTCTGCGTGTCTCAGGTGGGGCAAACTGCTCCTGCGGGATTCCCAAAGTCTAGATGGTAATTTTCTGTGACTGTCTGCATGAAGCAGGGTAGTATGGGAGGAGGTAAAAGCTGAGGCTTTTGCCACCAGAGGGTGGTGCCTTCCCCCTTACCAAACGTCCAGGGACGGCAGTAGCCCCTGGAACTGCTGCCAGCATCCCACTCCGCGTTAGACAACTGGGCTGTCCCAGTGCTAGTATGACCCCTGCTGAGGTTTCCTAGCCGTGAGCCCCACTTCTTCCCTGCACGACGAGGAGATGAGTAAGAATGAAGTAAGAAACAGGCTGTGAGAAAGCCCTGCTTTGGGCCAGCAGGGAGCATTAGAAGCAGTGTGAGTCAGGACCGTGAAAGTCCAGTAAGGGAGAGTCCAAAAGCAGCTTGCAGTCAGCATGCACGCAGGTCAATTTTCCCTCAAACTCGACTGAAATACTGTTTCCTGTACAGGGAGACAGAAACAAAAAGTGCTAAACAAGCTACTCAGCAGGTGCTCATCACACCTGCAAAGCTGCAGCCATTTAACTTCACTGTGCCTTCTGGATTGTGCACAGCTGAGCCCTTTGCACCCAGAATAGGAAATGTGAGCTAGCAAACTCAGCAAAGTACCCCTCTGGCTCAACAAATGTTTTTTTTTTTTCCTCCAAGAAACAGAGTTTTACACAAGATATAGACAATTAAGCTAGGGAATAAATAAGCCCCTCAAGCTCAGGAATAAAAGTTCTCAGAAAGAATGGAAAACGAATAAGTTAGATCACTTACGTAAGAGAAGAAATGCTGTTGGTGCTGATATCCAGCTTGTTAGTAAGGTCATTATGAAGTTGTGACAACAGAATGGTTGCACCCAAGTGTTCATGAATTTTGCTCTTCTGCAGTGACTGAAAAAACAAGCTGAAGTAGGTCACATGATTGTTGAGAAACTACAGTCACATCCTGAGTAGTTAGATTTGCAAACAGAAGTTCCCTTTTTTGGGTTTGAGCTCAATACATAAACAAACTTGAACATGTTTTGTGAAGAAGGTGGACCGCCAACAGTCACAGCCTGGTCAACTGTTTTGCTCTCTAAGGCACCTCTAAACAGGAACAGTTATTTTTGCATATCAAAAGCATCCTACCATAGTGAATTTGTTTCTGCTGGAATCTTCTGAATCCGTGGATAACCAAGTGGATTTTCTGTCTTACAAGAATTTTCTGAGGCATTCTCTTTCAGCATTGCTAGCTTTCTTATGAACTCAACTTGAATACTATCATGTTTTCAGCAGAGCCCTTATTTGAATATTTCCCTTTCATAATCAGCTTTTTCAGGAGTAGAGAAGAAGCACACTATGGCTGCTAAACCATTGCAAGCCAGTTCCCAGACACTAACTTCCTAGGAAAAATATCTTGATGCCCCTGTCCTATTTTGCTGTGTGAAGCATTGGTACAACTGACTGAGTGTGGCAGATATCATAGAAAGTATTTGTTTCTGCTTTGACCTGTAGTGTTGGTGTGCACACACATGTGTATGTGTGTGTAGTCCATTTTTGCTTCTTCTCTGCTTCTGGTTCTCTATGGGATTAGAGTTGGAAACATCAAAACCAAACAAACAAAAATCTCTGCACCAGCTGGATGGGAAATATCAGGATCCTCATGTTTCATCTGCAAATGATCCCATGCTTCAAGGATGCTGAAAACCTCTTCTAGAAGTAAAAACAGGAATGTCAGCTCACTTGTTTTGTTTTGGTGTTTGGTTGTTGGTTTTTTGTTTGGTTTTTTTTTTTAATTTGGGAGTGGTTTTGCTTTGTTTTGGTTTGTTTGGTTTTTGTTGCTTCTACTGGCCCAAATCAGCAGTCTCAAGTAGTTTTAGTATTTCAGAGAAAGAATTAAGCATCTGAGTATTTGGATAAAATCTCTAAAGCTATTTGCTTTATTCCATTGCTATTTTTCCATGAATGCTTCAAATAACTTATCTAGGTGACTGGACACAGCTGACTGTGTAATCTTCACTGTTCTTGTTCACAGCATACCTCCAGCAAGAAAAAGCACTCACCAGAATAAGACAGACAATATAGTCCTGCTTTGTAATAGGTTTATTCTGATTCTTGACCAAATTGGGAAATGTGGTTTCAAGCACCATCATCATTATCAACCTTCCCTCTGTTCTTCACCATCCAGACACTGGGCAGGATATATATGTTTAATTAATTCTGCTTTTACCTTCGACCTGTAAATAGTGGGAGTAATGTCAGATTTATATGTTATATGAATAACAAGGATTTCTCAGGAGACCCTATCGTGGTGAAAGAGGCTAACTGTAATTTTCAGCTGTGAGTAATTGTATATAATATAATCCTAAATGATTTTTCTTCTGTAATTTCATTAGAGTTTAGAAATTTAATTAGATTTTGAATCACTCTGAAATAAAGTAGCAAAACACCCAGAGACTAAGTGCAGTGGTTATTTTGTCCTCCGAGGCCAGAATTCTTGGTCTCAAATTGGCATGTGTTCATTAGGAGGAAGTTTGCAGAAGTTCTTGATATATTATTGTCTTTCAGAATGGACCCTGAATAGGTCTTTGGAGAGCATTAGAAGAGCACACAATTATTATACAGACTCTTTTTGAGGTTTAAGATCATCTGCCTTTCATATACTTAATAAAAATACGCCTCTAAAGTTGTTTAAGAAACTGTGGAGATAGGAAAGATGCTACTCCAGTGCCTCAGTGCTCCTCCTGGTTTATTAGCAACTCCAGTACCTGTGTATGATGATACAGAGAGGAGCTGTTTGCTTTACTTTAATGATTAGGTAGGTTTATGGTTATTTTTATTGCTACACATATGAACTGTCATGGTGTCTGTAATTAGAGACACACTAAAATGCTGTTCCTTCTATTCCATCTGAGGTTCAAAAGAAATCTGTCCTGGCCAACCTTGATTCTCTGTGGAATTCATTCTGTGGGCAAAAAGTGGATTCAGATGGCACTGAACAGGATGAAGCAAAGACCAATGCAACAGCTTAGGATAGCATGGGGTGCCATGACAGTCGTGGGTTCAAAAAGGAGATTCTCTTAAAAATGAAAAAACTAAATGTTGTGAAATGAAGAATTTCAGCAGGACAAATCAGACAGACAAATATAGAAAAGCTCTCTCAATAATGGCAAGCTAACCTATTTGAAAAGAAAGTAGTCAGTTCAGTGCAGTGGGATGCAGTCTCAAAGTGAAAAATCAAAAAGAAGCACCCTATATAAGCAGAATATTCTGTTACAGACTGACCCATGCAAACATTGCTGGCTGACTCATGTCAACATCCTGTTGACAGGATTCAACTAGCTGTGTTGGCCACTTCAGCTAGACAGGAGTGAAACTGTTCCTTGAGCAGATCCAAGGGGTCATTTCCTTTGATTCATTAACAGCTCTTGATGAGAGCTCATCATCACACAAATCCAGTCCTCAGGTTCAAATATATTCTTTCAGAGTAAGAAGTAAATTACCAAGTAAATCTTGAGTCTAATTGAAAAATATTTTTGGAAAAATATTGAAAGATTTTGTGCACTTTGTTTGATGGATACCATGGTGATTAGACAACCTCAGGCAGTCTGGTGTGTGTGGATGTGCTGCCTTCCATTAACATGTCATGTCACATCGTGGAACAAATTGAAGGAAACATGTTCAGGCTGGCTACTGCCAAAAAATCAAGGTGGTTTTGCTATGGGCATCCAGAACAAATGGAAACTATGCTTTAAAACTCACAGCTGCTCTTCCTTTGCTATTTTCTCCATCACTCCCTCTGTCAGGACTCTGAGATGCTGGGACAACTGGAAGGGATTCCACATGGCAGCAAGCAGCAGAATCACAGATGTCGGGTGTGTTAACAAAGGGAAACACGCCTGCACCAGTTATTTAATGCTTTCCTCTCTTGGTGTTAAGGAATACTGTGGGAAACCATTCGGCATTCCAGTCTTGCTCCTTTTTTATTCCCCTCCTTCTCTCTCCTTTTCCATGTAAAGTAATGTGTTATGTTACAGAGATGCTGGTACATTTTAAAAGCATGTTTTCTGGATTTTACTTGAGGGACACTATAGCTTGGCCCTGTTACCAACTCAGAGAAGTGCAAGGAGGCAAAGAAAAAAGCCTTGGGACATGTACTCAAATCTCCTGTGTACATCAGGAAAGACAGTGCTGAAGCAGTCTCTACATTATTTGTTTCATTGCTGAAATCTGAGTGAGCAGCTGGAGGAGGAGATCCCATAGGTTGTATATTCTCTGAAGCACTCTAAGTCCCAGTGGAGATACTGTAGTATTTATAAAAGTGCCAGAGAAACTGGGATGCTACAGGAGAAAGAAACAATCCCAAAAAGCTCATGAAAAAAGTCATTGTGGGAGAGTTTGGCTCTCTGAGAAGTAAGTTTTGGACTGGGTGACCCTAAAAGAGGGGCTCCAGTATTCACTGGATGATATTGTCTGGTCCTCTGGTTATCTCAGTCACTGGAGGGGCATTTGTTGATAAAGTTCTTTACTAAGGCAGCACTGCTGGAATTTTTCCTATGTAGGTATTCATACTTCATGAACAAAACATGCCAGGCAGCCTGGCTTTGTCATTGTTGCATATTCTGATACACTCAGCTGTGTCTTAAAATACCTTTGACGAGTATGATGATAACCTAAAAAGTTCCTAAGCAACCTCTGAAAATGGCTAGAAGCTTAATCTTTGATGATGGTGTGTGTGGAGGAGGAGAAAAATGCAGTCAGAGCAAGAGGAAAGGATAAAATATGTCCAATTTCCATCCAATATTCTTGCATTTCCTCTCCATCTGTATTCTGTATAAGCATGTTGGGCTTTATTAAAGGGAAACCATGGTCAGTTTCCTCCAAATGATCTACTAAAGAATATAGGTAGTGGACTAAAAGAAACTTTTTCTGTCTCTCCTGTTCCAGGTGTAAAGTAGGATTTTCAACAGGCTAAATCTTCAAAGAAAATATGCTGTAAGTGTGGAAAGGTTGAATGGCTTTATGAGGAATGAACTCCTGAAAAACAGCTGTTCTTTTGTGAAAATGTAGATTCAGTGCTCCATAAGAGTGGTAATTCAGGTAGTTCATGTCCCTCTTATCCCCTCTTGGCTGGGTCACCCGCTGAATTGCATTCTCATGATGTGCTGTAACCAAAGAACAGAATGATCCATTGCACTGTCACAGCAAAAAATTGATGTATCCAGGGAGTTCTTTTTTTTCTTTTGCTAGTCAATTCAACCATCAAAAGAGGGGATATGAAATGTGAGATATGTAACTTCTACAAGAAAGCCTGGTTAGTTTCTGGGTAGAAATGCTCAGCTTGTGGTTTTGGGTGTGTGTGTTTGTTTTAGTGATAAGGAAGCTTTTGCTGTCAGACTACTAGTCAAGGGCACCTATGCCTAGTGAATAGTGGACAGCTGCTCTCCTACAGCTCATTTATATTTTTCCTTGCATGTACAAATATGTTGCACTTTACTTTTGAAATCCTGTTGTCAGAAGCCAATTTTGAATGTACATAGAGAGGAGTTACTTGAACAAACCATGCAGTTCCTATTCAAAGGAATTGCCACTTTCTTTATAATATGAGCAATACTGGTGACATGACATTAGACCTTAACTGAATCCCATTTCAGTGCCAGCTAATATTTGCACTTATAGAAGGCATTAAAGAAGCTGGGACTTCTCTTGACATAAAGCAAATGTTGCATCTTTAATGGAATATAAGAGTCATAAACAAGCTAATCCCTTATTTGGGATTAGAAATATGATTTTCTTCTTTTACATCTAAAAGCACTAAAAGTCATTAGACATCTTCATAAACACCAGGTTAAACAACCATTCAGGATTCATTTTCATGCAGCTTCCTCAAAATAGATTACATTATCTGCCTGTGAAAACAGTCCTTTTGCTCATGTGCACAGTTCTGTGGAAAGCTGAAAGCTTTCAGCCTCTGACAGAGGCGTTCAGACATCTCATCTGTGCATGGAAGGGCTGTGTCTGCCAAACTGAGTGGAAAGATGTTTATAGACAAAGGAAGAATGGCACTAAAATTCAAATTTAGGTAGCTGAAGTAAGAGAGTTAAATATGTTACCTCCCTTCTTTCTTT